TACATAGGTGCACATTAAAGTTATTGTAGCCAGAATTTTTTAATATGCAATTAAATATTTTTAAAAATCTATTTCTTATTTTAATTTGTAATTCAATGCTTTTGTTTTGCACTACTTGATAAAAATCTGACAGTAATATTTAATGTTCCTTCTAACATAAAAAGAGTCCCATATAAAATTTTGATAAAGTTGTGGCCCGCCATTTGACTGGTGTTTTGAATTGTAACCCCCGGCCTCATGTAAGTTGGAAGCCCCAGCTCTAAGATATCATCATAAATTTATCAAATTTCACCACATTTATTCAATTTTATCTTATATTATAATACAATATTTCATTATTAATTTTACCAAACTCATTACCAAAGAGCTTCGTAAAAAATAACGGAGCTGTTTTTTTGCTCTCATTGAGCCAGAAATTCAATAAATTTTACCATATCCTGTTAGCTTTGACCATACTTTTTTTCTCAATGTAATTACCAGAGTAATAAATTAAAAATATTGTATTAATTCTTTTTAATTATTATTCGCTGAAGAATGAAGAATGATATGGATCAATAAATTCCTTTACATAAAATCCTTATTGATGTAAAGTTTGGTGATAATTGCAGCACAATTATTTCAAATTAATTTTACGCAAATTTAAAAATTATTTTAGATAGAAAAGCACTTTTAAGTTCCAAAACTTAATATATTTAAATTATCTATTAAAACTCAAAGAACTATCTCAATTTTCATTGAAACTCAAAAACGTTTTCTTAAAAACTTATATCTTTTATTACCCATTCAAACTCATTCAAATAGTTTACAACAATTTCTAATCAAAACTTTTTCGATAAATGAATAAATGAATATGGTAGTTCAATAAATGTACTGTAATAGCTGAAAATATATATGTCTCACCTATTATGATAATTATAATTTTTCGTATAGCACTATGGAATTCTTAAACGGCAGTAAACTGGCAGCTGTGAGGCTAATCAGTGTCATTTCACCATGTGTGCCAACAATATACAAATAAATATACTTTATTGTAAAGTGATCAAAGTGTGTTTCAAAGAATAGAGCTATAATTATCAACAATGTTTGAATTTTAAACTGGAAAAAAAGAAAAAATTTCAAACTTTTTTTTATTTAAAAATAATTGATCTTTTAAAACTGTCACAGTAAACTTTAAAAGAAATAGATTTATTAGTTAAATTATAAAATTTTATTTGTTTTAAATCATGCTATCGTGAAAATTTGATGAAATCTTTTAAGAAATTAAAAAAGATCGTAGAAAAATTTATAAAATGTAAGTGAAATTTGAGTAATATGGAGAAAATGGTAAAAACCTTTTTAATCGGAATGAATAGAATTTTGACACCTTCTATTAATAATTGTATTTACAATAGAACTAATTCAAAACTCTAACATAAAATAAGCTCTTTTGAATAGAATTCAAAAGAGTTTATTTTACCCGTTTAATATCAATCAAGAAAATTGTTTAGAGTAACAGATTATTCAACACAAATTACGAGTCAGATTTGCAGATGTAAGGACTTTAATATCAATACATTGAGTTTAATATAAATTTAATAGTATGCTTTGAGATTAATGTGTTAGTAATTTGCATTTGAAATTAGCATAGGAAATTCTAAACTTTTTATAAATTATTATTTTTTTAGGAGAATTCTATTTTTTCATATTTATTTATTAAATCTTGCTTCATTTAAAACAATTGATAGGCATCCAAAAATGAATTTTTATTGAAATAAATTAAAAATAGACATTTTACAAAATTTAAACAAAAGCACTGATAGGACCACCGATTCAATTTAACATATTTTGAAAAATGTGTAGTGAATTTTCTTAGAATAAGTAGCAATCCAGTGCTGAAAAAAATATACAAACGAAAATCAAATACAAAAAAAAAAAAAAAAAAAAAAAAAAAAAAAAAAAAAAAAAAAAAAAAAAACGCTTTAAAACTCAAACGTTATACACAAAATTCAGAAAAAAGCGTTTAAATCCTACATAATTTATTTTTGAAATTTTATTTTTTCCAACAAACTGGAGTAAATGAAACGGAACAGTAAGGTATTAGCAAATTTATCTGCCGTACGATGTAGGTCACAAAATAATACAACACATAAATTTAAATTTCCTGTGTCCATGATGTATTGTCTAAATTATATGTCTTTTTGCATTTAAGTAGAAAATAAATCTCTCTGAACAATGGTATTCAAAAACCAAAACAGTATGGAACATTTTTAAGATGAACTAGTCCAAAGAATCGGGTTTATTTTCTTTTCTATAAAACGTTCACATTAAAAAATAAATTATGAAGAATTGGTTTTTATTAATTTTAGGCTAACTATTATCTATCCATGTTTAATTTTTAGTTCATAACTGCTTCTTCTTTTTTATTATTATTAACATAGTGACGAGAAAGAAATCAGGTATTAAAGCAGTTTCAATTTCTTAAATTACACTTTAATCATTCTCAAATGCAAGGGTTTCAAACTGGCGGCCCGCGGGCCGCATCTAGCCCCCGAAGCCTTTTTTTGTGGCCCGCAAACTGAAATATATTAGTTGTATTTTTTTTCAGACAATTTTCGTAAGGAATCTGTATGAGTCTAAAATACATTTTTTTTCGTTAAAAAAAAACATAATCTCTTCGTTTCTGCGAAATTTAACATACCAACGGTGAAAAAAATTTTATTTCTCAGGTTTTGCATCCAGGAAAATATTTATTCAAATACAAAAATAATCGTGTATGCTGCTCTTTCTTATTTCCTTTTTTTGTTTTTGTTTTTTTGTGAATATAATTTAGCATGTGCTCATCGGAAATCTTCTCGAAGAAATTCTCCGATTTAACTTTTTGAAACCACTAACTTTGGACGAAATTATTTACATTTGTATATTTCAAAACGCATAAAAGAGGTAATGAATATCATATTTATTTAAATTCTTTGAATCAAATAGGACGTGAGCAGAAAAGAAAAAAAAATTAATTTCAGATGCTCGAGAAGTTTTTTTTCTTTTCTGATACATATCCTAATAGGTCTGGAAAATTTTTTTAATTTATCACATAATTAAATTTAAAAGAAGAAAAAAAATCTTGTCACTAAGTTTCTGATTAAGGGAAGATTCAAAATGATACGTAACAAAATTATTTGCAATGCTTGTTATTTTGCTTTTTAATATTAAAAAAACTTTATATTTAAAAGCAAAATATAATCCTTATTTTATTAAGTTTCCATTCGAATGCAAGTACAGCGGACAAGCCTTAATTCTCTCATTGATCATTTTGTGTGCTACTATGTATGTTTTAATAACAAAATTTTTAAAGTTTTATATCTTAACAATTTGATATCTGTTGCACATTAATTGTTTAATACGAAGGTGCACATTAAAGTCATTGTAGCCAGAATTTTTTAATATGCAATGAAATATTTTTAAAAATCTACTTCTTATTTTAATTTGTAATTCAATACTTTTGTTTTGTGCAACTTGATAAAAATCTGACAGTAATATTTAATGTTCCTTCAAACATTAAAAGAGTCCCATATAAAATTATGATAAAGTTGCGGCCCGCCATTTGACTGGTGTTTTTATTTGTGGCCCCCACCCCATGTAGGTTGGAAACCTCTGCTCTAATGTATTTTTATCAATTAATCAGACAAAATTATGGTTTAATGATAATTTAAGTGTTAGTAAGCGGCTAAGTGTATCACTAAACTGCTTTTCCGTGTTATTTTAAAAACCACTTGCTTTCTATTTAAATTAATTCAGCAATTTCATGGATTGTACAAACAAGTCTTTGCTGTTTACATAAACTATTTGCAGCCTTTTTCAAACAAATAAAAATATGAGTATTAAATCAAAAATACGTATAAATCAGAAATGTGTAATCATAAGTATTCTCTTAAATGCAGTCTAAATTGAACAATTTTAAACTCATACCTGCATTAAATCAAAAAAAATGGGATAAGTATTATAATAGTAATAATGATCCTTTTTGTGTAAGTGTTTTCTCAAAAGCTTCATAATCTTTAGGTGAATTTTTCTTTTAAAATCCATATTGGCTCAAATAGACGCTGTTCAAAAGAAAATTAAAAAGGAAAATCTTTAATTAATCTCACATTAATTAATTTATGCTGAGTTCGATTTCTTAAAAATCAACCTATGCGTCTTATTTGATTTGATATGTCTCATTTTGACTATGTCTCATTTGATTTAAAAACGAAAGCATAAAATTGATAATAAACAATTATTCTTAAATAAAGCCCCATAAAGATTGTTTTGCAACAAGCAAACTGTTTGGTGATGATATTAATACAGATATTACTATTCAATTACTCAGACCACCTAGACAGTGGTCTGAATAAAGTTATCTAGACTTCGTTCTAGACAACCTTAGATTATTAGTATATAAATTTGGAGAGTGACTTATTTTTCATTTTGTAAGGAATATGTAATCGCAAAAGATATAAATATATAGAACTTTTCTATATATGCTCTATTATTAAGCAGTTTATCTGTGTTATTCACCCTTGATTGTACAACTGATTGCCTTTTAATAACCTATGCCTATTACCCAATCACCTTCAGAGCAATTAACAGGAAACAGTGAGTAAAAGTCATTGTTGAGTTGAACTCTTCAAAGAAAGATTACTTTTGTTATTAATTATTAATTTTCATATAAATAACTGAAAACTTAATTTATAATAATTTTAATATCTATTTCAAAATCATTAATGAGCTGTTGTTCTATGTTATACGACCTTAAATGCACGACTGATTGTCTTTTGACAGCGTAAGCCTATTATCCAATCATCTTGTCTACAATAAGCAGGAAATTATTGGGTAAAAATTTTTTTCTAAATTATATTTAAAGAAAGATGACTTTTGTGAATAATTATATATTTTCATTTTAATAAATATAAAATTTAGTTTATAATATTTTGAATGCATATGTCATAGTAATTTTTTTAAATATTTTTATTTATTTATTTTTTTAGGAATTTTAAACAGATCTGACTTCGGTCGGTTGTCTGTAATGGATTTTCTCCAAAGAATAGATGACACACTGGAAAAAACATTCGATTCCGGAGGTAAGAATTTATGGCATGAATTGTTCACAAATATTTTTACATTGAAATAATTCATTTTCCTTCACATAGTTTTATTGAGATCTTCTCAATTTTAAGTTGTATTTTATTGATTAACATTACATTTTAATTTTTGTTGCAGATATTACTAGCTATAAATTCATGTACACTAAATTTGATACTACACTGTAATAATATTCTAGATCAAAGTACGGAATAAAGTACCAGCACTTAAAATCTATTTTAACGGAGACTTATTATGGAACAAAAAAACTGATATACAGTAATTTTAACAGTAATAATTACCGTAAATTTACTGCCGGTTATTTTATAGTAATTTTGGAAAGAAAATTCCAACAGTTTAAGGAATAAAAATTATTTTCATAGCAATATTCGAATTTGTCTTCCTCTATTTTTATTCTATTGCTTGATAGAATATGAAAGTTAAATTTAGCGAATATGTATCTCTAAAATGAATAAATTAACAGAAGAGACAAAAAATATCTTCTTGATATTTTTTTATCTATGACCTTCGTTACACATAGCACACACAAATATCAATTTTTTATGCTATGTTTTTTGTTTTGATAGACCTACTTAATGCTTTTATAATAAAGATCACTCATCCTCAATAAATAAATTCATTTCATTAAAAAAACTCTACAAAAATCCAGCAAAAAAGCATAAAAGATTACAGATATGGAAGTATTTTATATAAAAATTTTATCATTATTCGTTGAATAAAAAAAATTTTGAATTCTTCATGGAGAAAAAATTCTGTCAAAATTACTGCATTTAAAAATATGTAATGACATTTCTAGTTCAGAAAAAAAAGTCAATTTTGATTAATGAAATCAAAATATATAGTATTTAAACTATATAGTATTCATTTAAACTATATAGTATTCAAAATATATAGTATTCATTTGTTTGTTTTTTTTTACATTTATATGATAACGGTATACCAAAGATTCCAGCTTTTAAAACTGTAGCTTTCAGTACCACACATTTAGTAAAAAATACAATAGTAATTTTTATCCAAATAAATGGTTTTGTTGCCAAGCATCATGATAAAATTGCCAAATTTTATCACATTTGCCAGATTTTATCACATATTATAAAATCATATTTTATTGTTAATTTTACCAAATTCCTTACCAAAGGGCTTCGGTAAAAAATACTGTGTTTTTTCGTGTTCCCATAGAGTCAGAAAACGATAAACTTTATCACATTTGAGAGATTTTATCACATATTATAAGATCATATTTTATTGTTAATTTTACCAAAATCCTTACCAAAGGGCTTCGGTAAAAAATACTGTGTTTTTTCGTGTTCCCATAGAGCCAGAAAACGGCAAACTTTATCATATTGCGGTACTTTTTACCATACTTTTAGTTTCAGTGTTATTTCAATTTTTGGCGAATATGGTTTCATGTTTTTACAAGCAGTCTTTTCAGTTTTGAATGCCATTTGACTCCAACCAGCAACATGCTTGCTTTAAACTTAGCACCAAAATTTTAATGTCGACTTTTCCCTCTGCATGCACTTTAGAAAATTTTAAATGAAATTACCTTATAAAGCACCGGCACTTTGGGAGCATCATGCGTAAAATTAATTTTACCGCAAAATCCATTTATACCGTAAAATATTATATCGTATTTTTTGCAGTTTTATTTCTTTGATAATTTTAGGTTAATTATTACTGTAACAACTACGGTAAATCAGATTGTTTTGTTCCGTAGATGTTCCCGTAAAAATGAACTTTAAGGTAAAATGTACCGGCACCCTAAGTACCGGTACTTTTTACTGTAATTTGATTCGAAATTTTTCAGGAATATCAATCCAAGGTTGAACTATAATATTGTCAAAAATAGCAACCTTAAAATATTATTTATTTTCGTTCATTGATATGAATCATTCCCTTTAAAATTGAATGGAGCAGCATCATTCCCTTTAAAATCATAATATCGAGCACTTGAGTTCAAGAAAGATGAATTTTCATCATAATTCAGTTCAAATTGAAACTGTAATAAAGTTGCAGCAAGTTTGATTAACATGGTTCAACGTATTACAAATTTTTTACTGTTTGTTTGGAGTTACCCACCTAAATAATATATTTTTACGAAAGTAAGTTTTTGAACCATTTGTTTAAAGTAAGTTTTTGAACCATTTGTTTAAAGTAAGTTTTTAAACCATTGTTATTTGTTTTTAAACCATTGTTATTTGTTTTTAAACCATTTGTTTTAATTCATTGTTATTTGTTTTTAAACCATTTGTTTGAAACCATTGTTATTTGTTTTTAAACCATTTGTTTTAAACCATTGTAAACTTATTGCAGTTACTTATTTGTATTTTATTTCGCTTTTGTTGTCTTTTTACATTTTTATGCTTATATTTGGTTTTTAATTTGTTGTCTTTTTATAGGTATATTATTATGTTTGGATTTGCATTTTTTTATCTTTTTACAGTTATATGTTTACATTTGGTTTGGCATTTTGTTATCTTTTTACAGATGTATGCTCACATCTGGTTTTGCATTTGTAATCTTTTTTTAGTTATATTTTCATATTTGGTTTGGCATATCTTTCTTTTTTTCACAGCTATATGCTTATATTTGGTTTTTCATTAGTTATTTTTTTTACAGCTATATGCTTATATTTGGTTTTGCATTTCTTAAATTTGCACAGTTATATGTTTGTATTTAATTTTGCACTTGCTACTTTTTTGCAGTTATATGTTTATATTTAATTGTGAATGTCTAAAAAGATTATAATTATCTTTTATTGCAGACAAGGAAATAAGAACTTGGTTCTTAGTCAGACAAAATACGTTACCATTTGTACTATGTTGTTCTTACGCCTTATTCTGTACAGTCATTGGCCCAGCAATGATGAAAAATAGAAAACCATTTAATCTAAGGATGCCTATGATACTTTTTAATGCATTTTTAGTAGTGGCATACTCCATTTCTTTATTCACTGTAAGTAGTAATTTTTTGTTCAAACTTGTTAAAAAAGTAATTCGATATTCTCATTTGTAGGATCTGCGTATTTTGATGTTTTTAAAACACTTGATTTTCCAGGTTAATGAAAATGTTTTGGTCAGCAGTACGTATGAAATAATTATTTATAATATTAAGCTTTGAGTATGTTAAAAAAAAAGTTCAAAAATTTATGATATTTAAAAAAGTAAAAAATAATTATAAGTTTATAAATATGACAACTTTCAGTAAAAGAAATTACTTTATGAAATGATAGCATTTTGTTATGTACAGGATGCGAATTACCAAACCATACCATAGATTGGAAAGAGTTGGCGAAAATTTTTATTGGAATTAAAGAAGCGTTCTCACCAATCGCCAAAGGACATTAGGAATACATTAGGCCAGGGCTCGAAAAACCGCCCGTCCTCGGCGGTCAAAAATTCCCCGCGTACAGCGGATTTCTCGAATCCGACGTCCGCGAGAACGGCCAAATTCCCGTTAATATTCGTGAAACATTTTCAATTTTTCTAACCTTACAAGAGTCTAGCGCCTCACTTCGAAAAAGACCCTGAAATGGAATTGATGTTTTTTCTGTCTGGGAGTACTTGGGAGAGCGGTTGAAAGGGGTTTTTCAGCAACGAACTTACAAAAAAAAAAAAAAAAAAAACAAAGGTTNAAAAAAAAAAAAAAAAAAAAAAAAAAAAAAAAAAAAAAAGAAAAAAAACCACATTGCGCATTGGTCTTAAACAAGAAGCGTGAAACGCAATTATGAACCTAAGTGAAAAACCCCTTTCAGATTTCAGTGCAGAAACCTCTGTAAATCATTGGCTTGATTGTGGAGCATGCAGATGTAATATTTGATTCATTTAAAAAACGCAGTACCCTCGGATAAATTGACATTCCTGAAAACTTGACCTTTGCCATTTAAATTATTTCATAAAAGAAAGAAATTATTTCATAAAAGAAATGAATCATTTCATAAAAGAAATAAATTATTTCATAAAAGAAATAAATCATTTCATAAAAGAAATAAATTATTTCATAAAAGAAATACTAGGTTACTAATAGTAACCTAGTATTTCTTTTATTACTGTGTAATGTAATTCATTGTGCAATTTATATAAATGTTTGTAATAAATAAGAGAAAATTATATTTTTATTTATTTAGAAGCTACGGATTAGTTTCAAAGGAGGACGGGTACATTGTTGAACAAGACGTCCTCGGGGGCGGGTAACATTTCTGAGTTTTTTCGAGCCCTGCATTAGGCCACATTAGGAAGCGTCGAAATCAAAAACACAATCAAACTCTGTCTAACCATTAGTTATAAAAATGGGTTAAAAATATTAAAACCAGATGTAATTCGTATGTGCTATTAATTATCGCATTTAACTGTTGTTTTTTTAGCCAATCAAAAAGGTTTTGATTTCGATCTTTCTTCTGCAACGATTCGTTATTCTGCATTGATTCGATATTTCGATATCGTTTCTGTTTCTTTCTCGCTTAAACCTCAGTTTGCAAACGCTAGTATGCATTTCTATTTGATTTCTGTCAAAAATATTTTAAAATAAGAGAAAAGAAAGATTTTAAATATTTCTTTGTAATAGTTCCGTGATAGTTCTTTAATAATTCAATAGTTAAGGAGTTTTAATAAATAATTTTTTTAAAATTTTCAAAAAAAAAAGTATGGTTTTGCATATAAAAAAAAATTATGATATGTATCATTTAAGAATTATTTTTAATGTAAGTATTTTACCCGCGAAAAGCAAAGACATTATTAGTATAAGTTCGATGAGTCAATAATTCTTTACAGTCTTAAAGTTGGCCCATAATAACTAAGATTACCGTTAAATCTAGTTTAATAGAGTCCTATAAAAGCTACAGATATATTTCAAGAACTTGATTTCAATACTACTTCCTCTGCAGGTAATTTTTTAGTAGGGATAATTTGATTTCAATTCATTTAGAATAATAACTTTAATTTTCCAGTTACTTAGTTATTAAAAACAATTTTCATTTTGTAATTTAAAGTCAAAAATTTATTAAAACGGATTTTCAAATTTATTATAACATATCTATATCTGAGTGTTTTTAAATTCAATATTCTTTTTATGCCTATTGTCTGTTCACTACTAACAATTCGAAAATCTATAAACTAACAATGAACGCCATTTTGTTAAACTTATAAATGGAGCTCATTCATACAAAAATATTACTAAACAATTTCATTCAAACTACATATTATTTAAACAATATATTATTTAAAAGAATTACCAACTCATTCTTCATTCCCAGATGAAATAAATGAAATCTTTTTGTTCCTTCGGAGAAAAAAGTTTTTTTCTATTGTTCCATTTTGCATTTAAAAAAAAACCGAAACTTTTTCCGTTTTTTCCGTGCGAAAAGAAAACGTTTTCAAATAAAAGAGGTCTGGTATGTTGACCTCGAAACAGCGTTTTCCTTACGTCACGTGGCTTATTGACATCGTGTATGTTAATACAGAGATGCATAAATAACAGACAAGTTGTTTTAAAGATTGAAAAACATGAACTTACAGGAAGTTCAGAACTCTTTTAGTTGCGGATCAGTGACCTCCATTTCCATCGTATGAATGGTTTTAAAATAAGTGAGAAATACTAGAAACGTTTACGTTAAACGAATCTCAAATACGACTTTCTCGTGTGAGATTTTTAAAAAAAATTCAATTTTCTCTATGCTTCAATTGCTTTGCAAGAAAAATGTTGCTTTTATTACAATTCCTATGCTGGTGTTTTAACTATTTTCTTACAAATGGATTTGTTTAAATTTATTTTAAAAATCTATTCTTACCGTAGAAGTTAAAAACAATATGTAAACATTCCAGCAGCATAATCACCAAGACATTCTGTATTGCTTGGGGATAGAATTCGTTAACATCACCATGGTTCAATTCCCTTCCGTTTCTAAGTAACTGAAAATTGTTAAATGGAATTATTTTCGTATTTGGGAACTGAAAAATTATTTGATGAAATTCTTTCTTCTTTATTTATAGAAAACTGGTGATTCTTTAATTAATTTCTTTGATTCTCGTCGATGATACTAGATTTTCCCCATGGTTTCTGTTGTTGCTCTCATCGGCCACTAGAGCAAAAGGGTGCGATTGCTCTTGTTTTCCAATGGCACCATCTACGGTCGAGAATTCAACTTCTGTCACACCCATACGTCACACCCGTTTATAGGGCTGACCCATTCATACATCCACTGATAGTAATTTCGACCTGAACCAAAGAATGATCAATCTCCAATTCAATAGGTACCTCAAGAGGCATAATTTGTGATGGGAATATGGAGAACGTTATGACCCAACAGATTTAACCCACACCAGTCACTATTTAGTACACGGGGAGTCTTCGGCCGGATGGATTCGAATTTCCGTTCTTAAGAACGTGAGTACAGCTTCCTGCAAGCCAGACTATCCTGGCCTTCTAAACTATGGATTCTCCAGGCATGCGGATTTTCTGCATGATTTCTAAACAATGTGGGGAAAAAGCATTTCTGAAAAAAATTATATTTTCTAAACTTCCTATTGCCTGATAAAGTGTTTCAAGCATTTAGCCCTTTTTTCAGGGCTCAATCTTATAACCTTAGGGCCAAGTATTTAGTTCCCTGTCAGAGCTCGATCTTTAAACGATCTTTTATCCCCATAACTAAGCATTTAGCCATTTTTTTTTTTCAGATATTGATCTTGTATCTAGTAATGGTAGAACCATCACCTGCTTTTGATCGACAATGTGGTCGGTACTTGAACTTAAGCGAATTCCAACTTTTGGTTTTTCTTTTGGTTGTATCTTCAACCTGATATCACTTGAACCTCTGAACCCCTATCACTTGAGATAAGAACTATGCTATAGACCTAAGAGTTTAACGCCAGATCATATTGTAATAGAAAAACCAGATCATAAGAAACATGGATAGATTCCAGGAATAACTTTAACAAAAACACAACCACAGATTACGTCATTTATGAAATTAGACTGAAAGAAAAAGTTCTTACTTCTATTTACTCTATAAAAGTAAAATACAAAACAGGGGTATACCTTAAGCCAGCTAGTGTCATTTGTTTTAATTTGAAATCGTGTTTTTCATGTAATAAAGTTTATACCTAAAAAGTTTCCTTATGTAATTTAGTAGAAAAAAAACAACAACTTAAAAGCAAGTTTGTTTCTAGTACTTTTCATACAATAGGTTAATACCATGAAATCATTTAAATAAATATTTAATTTCAGATTTTATTCAACTTACCTCAAGTTAGCTATTCTGATTTTTGCAAAGGTTCGGCGGTGAAAAAAGGAACTTTAACATATAAGGTAAAAATTGTTGTCTCATTTTAATTCAGTTCATTTTCAATGAACTTACAATGTATTCTGTTTAACTATTTCTCAAATTCACCTTTACAACATTTTTGCTGTAATTCTTAGGTCTATAAAAAGTTATTTAGCATGCTCATAATGCTAAATAACTTTTGCATATCGTTTGTCTTCCGTTGACCGAAAAAATAATTACACTTTTTTTCTACCCCTTATCAATTACACGATTTGTTTCACGCATGCTTTTAAAAGAAAGCGTAACACTAAGCAAAATCTCCCTATTTAGCAATATGTATAACGTTTATGCGACTTTCATTGAGTGTAGAGTGCTATTTATTTATTTTTCAATATCTCGTATATAGGATAACTAGAGACCGCAATTATAATGAAATTATAGTGCCCGCTAATTATCTCATTTGTTTCGAAGCAGCAGTTTAAAAAGAAAATGGGAAAAGCTGTGAAATGGCAACTATTCCAAATTACTATACTTTAATGGACAAATATCTGCCTGATGCTCATAAAAAGGGTTGATGAATTAGCCTATATAGTGTCTGCTTAATTTAGACATAAATAATAAAACACTTTTCAAACTAATTCAGTCAAAGAACCCAAAATCGTAAACAAGAACACTTTTTACAGATCAGAATAAGACGAATGCTTTAAGAATTACACCAATAAATATGTTCCGAGACATGGCTGTTTTAATTATGCCAAACCTATGTCAAACTCCACATAAAATCTAAAATGGCATGAATTGCTTTGATAATGTTAATAGTTTTTTTTAATCTATAGTACTTTAGATATGATCGTATCTCTATTTAATCAGATTTTGTGAGTTCCAAGCAATTGCAAAAATAGATAAAATGAATTGATTGCATTCTGACTTTATTTCAATTTTTAACACAATAAAAGCATGTTAGAAACTATTACTCAATTATGTATTACTACTCAATTATCTATGCCTAACTAACTGGTATCTTCCTAATCAATTTCTAAGACTATATTATATTATCTAGCAGTTGTGTGGCCAATGGGAATTCTCGAATTTATAGTTGTAGCCCTCTAGCGGGAAAGTTTAAATTTTCATAAATTAAGTAAACAAATTAACATTTACAGTAGTAGTATTACTAGGTATTTTTCGTTTAATAATGATTCAATAAATGATTTTTTTAAGGTCTAAAGAATCATTAAAAAATTTAAAGAGTTTACCATTGGTAGTAGTAACTAAATAATGTGTTTGATGGTTTTACAGACATCCTTAATTGACCAGGCGTACTCAAAGCTTATGGACAATCCTCGAATTATAATGATTGTCCTCAAACATTTTCAAACTCAGTAAGGACAGAAAATGTTCCCAAATTTTAACATGCGTCTTCAAATGTCCACGAATTTCTCCAAAAAAAAAATCTGAAATACACATTTTTATTAGAAAAAGAATTTTTTATTGTCTTACAGAGAATATAAACGAAATTTTAAAAAAGAGCCCCTAAGCATGCTAAAAGATAAAACAGCCATGTTCGTCGTAAAATTATTTCGGCAAAAAAATAACAAATTTTAATATTCTTGAACCAATTTATTTGCATATGTTCAAATGTAGAATATTGTAGATATTTCAAAACTGCTTAGTAATAAAATCAAGTTTGATGAAAATGCTTCTGACCATGAGTTAGTTATCAATTCAAAATAAATATTTATTGCACAGCTGAATTAAATTATTTCTATAAACTATTTATATATAGTATATAAATATTTTCTATAAACATATGTGTCCTCAAATCGTAAAAGAAAATTTGTTAAGCTGATTTCTCCTTAAATCATGGTTTATAAATTTAGTGAAAAAGACAACATTGTATCTACAATGAAGACATCTCATTTTTAAGTAAATCTGACTAGAATTCATGAAATTATATTAAATTTATCATGTCTCGATGACTCCAATTCTAGCAGGAATTGCTATTAAGACTTGTTGTTGAGAATTATTATTAGCAGCATTTTTCAGTTTAAAGAAATAAAATATTTCATTAACTAGTGTTAAATTATAGAAGTCATAACTAATAGAAGTTGTTTAATTCTAATTTAGGCTGTGATTTAATAATAATTCTAATTTAGGCTGTGATTTAGTTTTAAGCAATGATATCCGATGCTCATATTTTAAATTTAAAAAGCACTAATTCCCATATCGTATTATTTTTAACATCTTTATTACATAAAGTTAAGTTATTTATAACATTGGTTGTTGTTATAACTTTAGTTAATTAAGTTGTAATAACTTTATGACATAAAAATACTACGCAAAGTTAAGTCTTAAGTTACATTTTTATGAAATTAATTTACATGACTTTACTTGAATTCATTAACATTTATCCGAAGATCGTTAATTCATAGAATATAAGTAGGAAAAATACTATTCCTCCTATAATTTTTGAGTTACTTTAAAAACCGTTATTTGAAATCTAATTTGATATGTAAAGGTTTCTTTAAATTATTATTTTTCCTTTATTTTATTTTATTTTATTTTATTTCTTTTTTTTTTATTTCTTTATTTTTTATTTTACTTCTTTTTTTTTATTTTACTTCATTTTATTTTATTTTGTTTTGATTAACAGTTGACAAATTAAAAATTCATGTCATGTTATACTTATGCTGTTTTTAAAACCCTTATTACTTAACTATTTACTGTTAATTTTATAAATTAAATTTACTCACTAATATTTTTAATCAGGGAGATTTTTGCAATGTTTTCTTAATTCCCAGATTTTAAATTAGTAAGAAACTCTTCCTGCTTTTATACTTAGGTTATTTTTAGATATTAACTTTTCTTACAATATTAACTGATACTTTAATGAATTCAACTTAGACTGTAATTAAATAAAGTTTCTGTTTTTGGATTTACAGTTGACAAGTTGCTGTTGGGTATTATACATCCTGAAATATATAGAATTCATTGATACAGTGAGTAGTTACATACATTTTGTTGTTACACTTTGTTTATAAATGCTTACTTCATTTGATTTATTAGTGTTTACCCTGCATTGAGAAAAAAAGTATAATCAAAACTACTAGAATATGGTAACATTTACCTTATTTCTGTACTTACGGAAATACTAAAAAGTTTGATAATGTTAATATTGTTTAAAATTAACAATAAAATAAGGTCTTATAGTCTGTGACAAAGTTTGGTAAATGTGGTAATTTCAGCATGATACCTTAGAGCATAACAAAAACTTTGACTTAGAAGCGTTTGTTCGGTTAAATTTAATTTTGACTTTTTTATATATTTTTTTTAAATAAATGGTAATAGGAATATAAAGTGGTGATAAGAACTATAAATTTGAAGGCTAGAAAATTCCGGTAAACGGTTACTACGGAAAAATTGGAAAATGAATGGTTTAAATATCGCATATTTTGGTTCTATTAACCAAAATTTTGATTTTTGCTTTACTAGAAATAACTTAAGGATACAGTATGGGAACTTTACCGGATTTTTTTTCTCTTTGTGATGATTCTTTAGTAAACATCTATTTTTAAAAATGTATTACCAAGATAATATTTCTGAATAACTTTTAACATAGGTTTATTCCATGCTAACAACAATTCTAAAACATTTTATAATAAAAAAATGATGCAACCGTTTCTTGAAATTTCGCATTTTGATTTACCTCATAAAACACAAAAGACTGGGATAAAAGAACAGTTTGTGTTTTGGGGGGAAGTTTTTTAAATTGCCCACTGTTCAAGAATTATTGCTATGCAAACCAGATTGTTTAAAGAAATTTTTATAAACCCCGACAATACTAGATTTTTACTTAATGCTGATAAGCAACAAGCTTATCCCCTAAACAATGTAGATAATTTTCCTACCAGAGGAATTGCAAAACTTTGTGAGCTTATTTAACTAATATCAATTTTTATATTTTTAAAAATTTCATTCTATATCAATTTTAAAAAGCCGAGTATCAATTTCCATCTTTTAAGGGTTAAATTGTAATCTATACTTTTAAAGTTTTTGGAAGAAAAATACTAAAGAAATAAATTTTTAAAAAAAATACGAAACATCTTTTAATGCACTTTTTTCTTCAGCGAAAGGAATTAAAGGTTGCACAATCAAAAGACTTGAAAACAAATTACAAAACGGAGGAATCGCTGGAAACGTAGCAAAAATTAAAGACTTATTTATTTTTCCATATTGATTTTAAATATATTTTTTTAACAAAACTTCCCTTTTTTTCCTTTTTTTGTAATTATAAATTGTTTTAAATTAATAATTATTTTAAATAAAGCACTTTTAATGTCTCACATCATACAACAGCCTCTATATTTCTTAAATCATGAAAAGTTTATAAATACGTTTTAACGTGTGTTTCTTAAATAAAATTCTATTTTTCAGATCTTTTTCATTTTGAGGAAAAAAATGAACTCTGTGACATTCCTACATGTTGTACATCACACAGTTGTGCCAATACTGGGTTGGATAATGCTAAGGACAGAAACAAGTAACTAAATTATAATTATTCATTTAATTCTAAGACATAAATCATTAACAACTTTTGTCCATATCATGAATTATATATATGCGAACAGTGTTTTTCGACGTTTCTTCGCCAAGAAAAAAAAACCACAGTTAAGTACCTTGCAATTGAAGATAAGATTTAATTTTTAAACTATATAAATCATCTTGTCGTAAAGAATTTTCTTAGCTTTAGAACGGACAAATAACTCAAATATTTTAATAGTTATTAAACTTTTTGAAGAAAAAAAATCTGTCGAAATTTCTCCATCTTTAGAAAAAATTATCGAAATCAGTGAATGCAAATTTTCTGAGCCTAGATTATGCATCGTTGGAGTAACATTTCACGAACACCTTTCATTTTCACAAAACTGTGGCTTTTCTTCAGATTGGTTGGCGAGTCCTTTTCAGAATTAGCACAGAAGGCGCTGACTATATGTTGGCTAAATTTGACCTAATAGACATAAAATATAGACCTAAATCTTGTCCTTATAGTCATAAACTAGCCTTAATAGTCATGAATAAATATTGGAAACTCACAGCAGTTATCAGAATAGCAGATTATTCGCAGAAAAGCGTTATTTTATGTGACCACAGAACGTTCGAAAAGCAGATTTAAGTTTTTTTGTAGTGTAACTAAATTAAATTAAGCATTTTCTTATAAAGCTAAAGTAATGAAAGAAAATCACCAATTTTTATTTATTGTGTAGTCAAATATTATTGTTCATCACCTTGCTTTAAATTCATTCATCACAACCTTATAAAATTTGTGCTAGACATTTGATGCTGCCATCTATTGGTGCAATTATTTTCTAAAGCTTTAATGCTTGTAAATTTAAAAAGGTTCATATAAAAAATACTCAGTAACTATTATATTGAATATTATATAACTGAAATACCGGAATATTAGTAATATATTATAGTTATCTTAATGATTTTCATGGATTTTTTTTTCATTACTAATAGTACAGGATATTTTTTTCTTTTAAAGAAGATTTATTTATTTGATACGCATATGTTCTCTAGAGGGCAGCAGCATGCATTTATTTTTAAGCATATTTCAATTATACAAGTACGCAACAACAAATTATTATAATAATACTATCGTATATGCTGCGGCAACTGATTGTAATGATCAGAGTTTAATTACATCTTTTTCCTTTCTTCATAAATTTAAATCCCTATTATCTCGAATAAACAAAAACAAAGCAAACAAAAAAATATTTGGTGTTGATAAGCTATTTTAAATTTCATCATCCGTGATTTTCTGTTTTGAATCTTGTTCAGATTGCAATAAATTCTTGCTACAATATATAAAGATTTACTTCTTCTTTTTTTTTAAGAGAAAATCTGTGAAGTTACAAAAATTAAGTTATAAAAATTGAATCGCAATGTAAAATCATCGATACACGCTGATTTTTCATGAGTTTTCACTGAAGTTCCGAATCCTCAATATTGGAAGGGTAACTATAACCACAGGTTGATAAAAGTAATACTTGTAACAACAATAAGCGGCAACAATATTACAGGGAATCCGCTCTTATTGCAGGGATCGTAGACTTTTATTAGGGGGAGAAGGAGGGACTATTCAATCGAATTTACACAAATATGTAAACTTTTGCATTTTAAATTTGCGTCATTTAACGATGATGAAAAAAGTCTTATGTACTGTAATTCGAAATTTCTTAATCAGTCATCAATATATTAAGTTATAAAAGAAATGATTAATAATGAACGAAAAAGATTAATTATTAAAGTATATTTTAGCAGGGGAATGTCTTTAAATAAATAAGTTTTACAACTGTGGATTTTTTTATTTATTTATATTTGTATATTTAGCAGCAAAAATATACAGGTTACATCTTGTTTTTCAGATTGTGAATATCCTTCAAATTTTATTTTGGAATTTTATTTTAATTTATTTGAAAAGTAGACACTTTTAAATATTTACTTAGACGTAAGTTTTTTTTTTTTTTTTGACGAATTTCAACAATCGTTTGTTTGACTAATTAATTAAAGTGTAAAAATCATTTAATTATTTGATTGTTCAAAATTAAATAAGTTTCGAATTATTTGTATTTATTAAAATTATTTATTTTCCAAATTAACATGTCTATTATTTGTATCTCCAGTCAAAATTATTTATGTCTCGAAATAATTAATTAAAATCTATTTAATTCCTTGAATATTTAAAATGCCCAACTCGACTGAAATTTAGCATTGCATGAAAATCTATTCCTTTTTTATGCCCGTATTTGTTCTAAGAGAAGTACATAGATACAGTATGGCAAAACTTTATACCTATAAGTAATCAGTAATTTATCCAATAATACCAATAAGTAATCGGGTTAAATTTGTTTCAGGTGGTTTTCAAAATATAATACCAATGAGTAATCAGATTAAATTTATTTTAGGTGGTTTTCAAAGTATACCTGTGATGATAAATGGATTTGTACATATCATCATGTATGCATACTATGGACTATCAGCAATTGGGCCCAAAATGAGACCATATTTATGGTGGAAAAAATACTTGACTGTTTTTCAAATGGTAAAGTCTGATATTTCTTTCTTTGTTTTTATCACTTATCGTTCAACGACAATTAACGTAACTCAAATTATATTACCTTTGTCTTTGTTTGAAAATTTCAATAAAATGTAATATTTGGAATTATATTATACAGAATGATTCAAACTAACTTTGAATATTTAACCGCTTAAAATAGGTTAAAATATTTGAGGAATGAAATATATTTAAAAACATGCGTAAAAAACATTAAAAAATGAAATAAAATCCGCTTGAAAATTCATGCATGGGTGAATAACAATTTGCAAATTTAAAGAAATTAATGAATCTGAAAACTAATTTAGAATAACAGAATATACGGCTTTCTTTGAAAAATAATTAGCTTCGATATTTAATTTATTCAACAATAACGACAACGTTAATTTTTTTTAGAATTTTAAACTTATCTCTTGCCAATAACATTGAATTTTCAAACTCCCCCAAAAGGATTTTAATTGCTGCAGAATTACGCTAATGTTGAGTTTAGATGTACTTTTTTAAACGTTTTCAAATTTGAAGGAGAAATGTATTTTTTATATTAACTTGATCAGCTTAGGATACTAAAATGTGAGCAGCACTTTCCTATATTTTTTGCCTCTTACTTGTAATTTTAAAAAAAGATCCCATGATCTTCCTCCTTTTATTTGTAAATAAAAAAACTCCACAATGTTTTTTATCTCAAGCTTTTAGGAGAGTGTTTTTTTTTCTCCTTTTATTTCGGTACATTTTTAATTTTTATGGAGATATTCATGTTTATAAATCTTATTATGAAAGTTTAATTAACAATCACAATCTCGAGCTCGGCACCTACTCTAGTTCCGGTTAAAAGTTTGCAGCTGCTTACTACATGTTATTCTGATAGGCGATGTTTTCAAACGGATAATTTTGTTTTTAATGAAAAAAATAAATTAGGTAATTTCTGATCTCAAATCTGCCATATTTCATAAGATATTAACGTTAATATGTTATTCTGGTGAGTTTGAAGTGAAAATTTGTTTTAGTTTTTTAGAGATATATTGTTAAAAAAGGTGAGATAGTTGCTAGATTTTGAATAACTCGCTTTTTTGGCAGTCTTGATATGGCCTCTTTCCATTTGTTTATNTATGCTTTTTATGCTTTTAGCATTTCCTTTCTTAATGTCCTTCCCACAAATGCACACTGTAAAAAAGTTCGGATTAAATTACGGCATAAAATACCGGTACTTTGGATGCATCCTCAGTTGAATCCATTTTTATCGTAAAATATTATACCGTACTTTTACAATTATTTAATTATAGTAATTCATTGATATTATTGTAATTATTACTGTAAAAATTACGGTTTATCAGATTTTTTGTTCCGTAACATGTTTCGGTGAAAATGGAATTTACGTTAAAAAGTACCGGCTTTCTGAATGCTGGTACTTTTACTAATTAGTATCTTTAGAATGGTAAAGTAAATGTGCGCTCAGCTATACTAAAGTATAATTATGACTTGAATGGATTGTAAACAACAGTTTTGTTAAGAACATTTAAAGCAGCATGAATCAGGATAGTGTTCATATTTGCTGCAACGATAATACGTTACTAACTTGAACCATCTTATCGCATTTCTTAAATTTGATTACGCAATCGTAAGATAAAATTTGCAGGAAAATAGGGTTTAATTCTGATCCTGTTAAGTTTATTAGGATTTGGATCGTAAGTTATTATTTAAATTAATATGTACTTATAAGGTTGTCAATATTTAATCTTATACGTTGCCAAAAATTTGTACCGATTCAAGCGGCATCAGATATTATGCTTCAACATTAAACCGATACCTTGAGAGAGTGGAATACATTTTTTGAGAACAGACTTAATAAATTAATTTCTTTTGTTATTGACTATTTTCTTGAGCTAGAATACTATCTAACTACTACGAGATAATCCCCAGACCTAGCTGAAAGCAACTGCAGTGAGAGCTCATCACGTCCTTGAAAAACAGTACTACCTTAAAAAACAGTACTTTTAATGATAGATATCAGGTTCCCTTTTTACCCCCCATATCGGTTATACGATGATAAAATTGATGATAGAATATTCACACTTTAGTCAACCAAAGCTATTTAGCCTTGAAAAATTCGACGACGAAAATTTTCATTTACTCGACTATTCTTTAATGGGCATTCGAAAACAAATTATGGAGGAAAAAAAAGAAATTGCTTCAAATAGATAAACAATGTGGCATTTGTCATGTACTCCATTCTATCTAATCATTATTTGTTTTCATTTGATATGATTTGTGATTTATTATGATTTATAAAATATAACTATTTCACTTCTCATAAATCTTTTATTTATGTATTTTTTAATGTTAAAAATAAAATGTTTTTTATCTGATATTGAATGTTTAATTAGTTGTCTAACAAAATTATTTCTTTAAAAGTATACACTTAAGCTATCGATATAAGGTAAAGTATCTTATATCGATAAATACTTATTATCTTATACTGCTTCTTATATCTCTTCAAATATTTATAAAAGAAAGGAAAACTTTGTAGCACTTTGATTCAAAGCAGGTTTTGACATTAGTATTTACAAAAGCAAGGAAGTAATGTTTACTATAGGATTATTGCAAGGAATAGAGTTTCCACTACTGCAATAACAAATAGCGATATTTGTTTGTTTTTGAAGTTTTAAAGACATTCAAAAATTGATTTTAGAATCATTGGTTGTGGTTTTCGTTATAGAATGAAAAAAAGGCTCTCATTTTTTTTAAGACATACATAGATAGCTAGAGTATTTTACACACGAAAAATTAAAAAAATCAATGTACACTGCTAGAATTTTCTCTCTGAAATTACGGTAAAATAACCGGTGGCAATCAGTCCATCCAGTTAACTGCATAGTTCATAGTTAAAAACATTTTTTAAACTTCATGATTTCAAAGCCGTTCATAACTGGTCTGGTTAAAAGATCATGAATACAAAGCTACACTGTTTTGTATTCAAAGTAACTTACAAGTAGCATTCTACACTCTAAGTAACTTAGAAGAAAAATGTGTAAATTAACAGATTTTTTAAAAAGATTGCTAAAAACTAGCATCGTATTAAAAATGAGGAAATTCTATTTTTTTTTTCCTGTACACATATACGATATGTTTCCTTTTTTATAGATTTAACTATAGTTTTTGTAAAATTAAACAAATATCTTTAATCACTGACATTTCGTAAAATTAAGGATATACAATTGTTAAATAAAGATAATTTTTCAGGTATCTAAAAAAATTAAGTTCACGGAAAGAAATAATTTAAAATCGTCCATTAAAAAAACTTTATTCTAAACAAATAAAATGAAAATTTCGCTATTTATAACTTTAGACAATATTTTGGCACGAAATACCCATAAATGCTTAAGAAGAAAGAAAAATAGTAAAAATGATAAGCGTTTTTTTGTTGTAAATATTGTTGAAATTTTAAATTCATTTTAACTTATTTCTAGAAAAATCATTAAAAAAATCAATATATCAAGTAAATTATTTTAACGAAATTTTAAAATCATCATTAAAATATTCAATTAAGTAAAATTTATCTAATTAAATATTACAGGCATTATTATTCATACAAAAACTTTTTTTTATTATTATGCTTTGGAGGGATAATTTAAAATCCTCATTAAAATATTCAGTTAAATAAAATTAATCTAACTAAATATTACAGGCATTATTATTCATAAAAAAACTGTTTTTTATTATTATTATGCTTTGGAGGGAAAAGAAAGATCAATCTTAGAAAGTTAAATATTTTAACAATATAAAATTATCATTTCCTCGCTATTTTTATTTTTACTGACTTTTAGAGACATTTAACAAAAATTTACTCTTGGAAATTAAATATTTCATTGATAACTTAAATTTTTCACTAAAACTCACTTCAATTCAGTTTAATTAATTAACTACTTTAATTAATTAACTATAATTAACTACAACTAAAAATACTCGTGAGTCTTTTTTTTTTCTGTTATGGGGAAAAAACAAAAACCAATTTATGAAGTTAAACTTTAAACGATACTATAGAATTATAGTATAATTATTTAACTTAGTGAATCAATTAACTTAACTAAACATTGCTAAAATTATTTTTCAGTCATTTTTTCTCCGTTAATAAAAAATTAATAAAAATATCTCGGTGAAGTTAAATATTTTAACGATATTTTAAATTTTACTCCAAAAGGCAATTTTTACATTTATTTCACAAAACATGAAATATAAATTATTTTTTTATAAACTTATATCCTCCCATTTTATTATATTAATAACCTGCAATTCTCTTTAAATCATTTATTTATTTGAAACATATTACTAAAGTTATTTATCGCTGTGAAACCTACTTTGTGCGTTGTAATACTACCGTAAATTACAGCGTAATTTGCGCAGAAAAAGAAACAGAGCTTAAGTAATTCAGAAAAATATCAATATTATTAATTTATTCTTCAACGAAAATAAAAGACAACAAAAAGAAAATCTGCGCCGCCCGGGAATCGAACCCGGGTCACAAGAATGGGAATCTTGCATGATACCACTACACCAGCGGCGCTTGCTGGAAAGCTAACTTACAGGGGATAAAATACTTTCTCTTAGTACATCCAAAAAGCAACTACGCATGCGCTATGAATGATTGATTTTTCTGCACACCCCTTACAATGCATTCCCAAAGGGTAAGAACCTCCCCCTCCTGCTGTTTTTCATAAAATTGAGCATATTTCTAGTACACACTCCCTCATTATATTGTTTTATTATCTTCGCTTAAAAAATCTTTATAAAATGTTGTAACAAGTTTTTAGATTGTGCATTTTTTCAATAAATAAAATTAAGCAAATCATACATTATATTTCGAATTTTAATTAAGCTGTATGCAATTTTTTCCAGGCATTTTGTTTATTTTCTTTGAGCTACATTTAAAATGTCTGCACTTGCAAAAATGAAATGATCTATATTTCTCACTGTTTTATTTTTTTTTTTTTTCAATTCCTTTTTCTATATATATATTTGGTATAATAAGCATTTTCCTCAAAAGTATTTAGATTGTTTTATTTCTTTTTATACAGAGAAAAATTTGGTCCTTTAAAAATAAAGTAAACATGGTTTTTTTG